GATTAGGGCTTAGGGTTAGGTTAAGGTTAGGGTTAGATTAGGGTTGAGGGTTAGGTTAAGGTTAGGGTTAGATTAGTATTTAGGGTTAGGTTAAGGTTAGGGTTAGATTAGGGTTTAGTGTTAAGGTTATGGTTAGATTAGGGTTAGGTTAAGGTTAGATTAGGGTTAGGTTAAGGTTACGGTTAGGTTAAGGTTAGGGTTAGGTTAAGGGTTAGGTTAGGATTAGGGTGCTAACATGCGATCGGTTTACATCGGATTTTAGAGATGTGTCTACTTACAGGCTACAACCCTAACCACTAACCCTATGGACGAGTTTCTATACAATATGCATTATGAATTCAGAGCCTCTGAACCTTTATCAAACCTTAACAAGTTTTTAAATCATGTAAAAGAAGAATATCCACTGTAATTCATTACTTACTTACAATATATTCTCACTTTATACTAACTGTCTTCTGATTGGCTAATAATTGTCAAGGTCACTTAAAATTCGTTCAAAGGTCGTCCTTAAATTAGAGTCTCGCCGAAATGTCGTCCAGTTGTCGAGACTCCTTTGGTGAGTACTTGTCCGAAGACGAGCTTAAAGAGAAGATAAGAGGTTCGTGATAGGTGAAAATATCAAATCCTCGGCCTTCGATAGAGTGTTGAAAATGCCTTACAGTACAATACATAGCTGGGAGTTCCCTACCGAATGTACTTTACCTCGATTCAGTGTCTAGCAACCGTCTTGAGAAGAATGCCAAAGGTTGCCGGGAGTGTTCAATTCATTGTTGTAAGACTTCTTTGATTGTTAAATTGGATGCATCTACTGAGACACTAATGGGCGCTTGAGTGTCCTGATGTGCGAGCATGTTTGCTATCTGCTAGGGTTGGAGCTATCACGAGTTCACTTAATCTGCGAACGAGAAACAAGACTCGGTGATCAAATGCCAGCAAGCTAGCTATTAATGGGTCCCACCACCACTAACTAGAGGGAGAAGTCCAAGCTTGGAATGGGGAAGTATATTCTGCAAACAGCCAAAAACGAGCGATAACAACAAACACAATTCAAAATGTATATATTCAGTCGAAACCGTCCTTGGAGTTACCAAATAGCATACTAAAAAAGTCAACGGATCAATAGCATTTAAGATATTTCCCGGTGAGAAATACGACATGAACGTGACAATAGCGCCTTTGGCGCGACAACAAAGAAATTCAAATTTTCTAAGTAAGTAAGTCGTAGACAAAAAGTAAGAATAAATTCCAAGTGCTCCATCTGGAGACCAGTACTTAGTTGAGTACCCCAAGGTTCCGTCCTATGTCCTTGACTTTTTATAATGTACGTTAATGATCTTACAAGTATAGTACGGTCTCCAATGTTATTATGCGCTGACGACGTAAAAATCTGGCGAGTAATAACTGGAGCAACAGACGCATGTGCTCTTCAGGTAGACTTAAATAATATGATTAATTGGTCTAAAGAGTGGCTGATACCTATCAACGCGGTAAAGCGTGTCTACATGCACTTTGAGGATTCAAAGGTTAATACGTACAACGTAGGGGATGTGTCACTAACAGTAGTCCTGTCTCATAAGGATCTAGGGGTGACAGTGAGTAATGATCTTAAGACGACGGCCCATTGCCGGGAGGTCGCAGCCAAGGGGTTTCGAACCCTCTGGGCTCTAAAACGGACATTCACTAAGTTAGATACTAACATGTTCACCACAGTATACACATCCTTAGTGAGAACTAAGCTAGAGGACTGCGTTCAGGCTGCAAGCCCCTGTTTGAAAGGTGACTCGGACATACTAGAAAAAGTACTGGAGGCAGCTACCCGTGCAATTCCGGAACTCCGGGGTTTACCATACAAAGAGCAGCTCGAAAAGCTGGACCTCTTTACTCTGTCCTATTGCAGACTAAGGGGAGATCTAATTTTGGTGTACAGAATACTGAGAAATGATTTTGGACCTAACTTATTCTCTCTTTTTCTTCCCACTATATCAGGACTTCTCAGAGGACAAAGCAGGTGAGTAGAAAAGCCAAGAACGAACAAAATACCCGTGGCATACAGGTTTTCACACCGAGTCATCAATACTTGGAACCTGCTGCCCGAAGTAGTGGTGTCCGCACCTTCAATTGACTCTTTCAAGAGAAGACTGGACACTCACAGAAGCATAATAGAAAGGGAATAACATAGACCGTAGGCTTTTTGTCCTTACTACACAAATCTGAATCTGAAAATTACAAAATTAGGCTCTTTCCCAAGTAAGTTCTGGGGATCTAACGTCCCCAACACCTTCGCTAAAAGCTCCTTGACTGTCAAGAATGCTTTTCGCGCGGTGTCGTCCATATTGGTGGATTTCGCATTTTCATGACGTTGGTCGGTTAGTGGTTACATAAGTGACGCGCATTTTGTTATGAACCGTCCATAGAAACTAACCAGACCGTTAAATGTGCGTAACTGCCTCATAGTGCTCAGTTTTGGGTAATCCAGAATATCCACCACTTTGCTTCTAATAGGTCGGACGCCTTCCGCATCAATAGTGTATTCTAGGAAGTCTAAGGTGTCGGTTCCGATTTGGCATTTCTGAATGTTTACAATAATGCTAGTTTTTCGTAGTCGTTCGAAAACAAGGTCCAGATACTAAAGATGGGATTCTCTGAACAGACTTGCTTTCAAGCAGTCATCAACATACACATGTACGAAGTTGAGACCTCGACAAAGGTCATCCATGAACCTTTGGAATGTTTGGGCAGCATTTCTTAGGCCGAAAGGCATGCGCGAAAATTCGTAGAGTTCCAAGGGAGTTACGATAGCGGTTTTTGGAATATCATCAATGGCCATGGGAATTCGGTTATTAGATTTAACCCAGTCGATTTTCGAAAAGACAACTGTACCTTTCAAGGTAGCTGTTAAATCGAGAATGTGAGGCAGCGTGTAACGATCGGGAATGGTTTTTGCATTCAGTCGCCGATAGTCATCAGTTGGACGCCAATCGTTGCTGTCCTTTTTAGGGATCATGTGCAACGGAGATACCCATGGGCTGTTTGACTGTCCTATGATACCTGAATCTATCATGTGGTTCAATTCGTTTTTCGCCAAGCTTAGTTTTTCGGGGCCAGTCGACGTGTTTTGGAGAACATATGTGGTTCTGTAGTCGTGATGTGATGTGTAACGCTGCTGGTTACACACGGCAATTTCAGTTGCGGTTGTTATATCCCAGAATACTTATCGATTAGTGGTTGATAAAATGGGCTATCGTGTGCCAAAGTGTGACGGGAGATAATCTGCAACCAGAAAAGGAAGTTACGCAAACAGATAAATTGGTGTTTCCGACTACTAGCCCCCGTTTGCGTGTATCGATGATTGGATTGTGGTGTTGTAGGAGGTTTATACCAATGTTTGGTATGGAAACATCTGCAGCAACGAAGATCCGGTGAATGTGTTTGAGTAAATACACCTTAAGGTAAACGTAACCTTTCCGTTTGCCACCCGTAAATTTGAAACCGATTCCTGAAGCCGGTCGTTAGAATTCTCTGGAAGGACGCTAACTTCTGTGCTAGTATTGACGAAGTAGCGAACTTTCTTTATCACATCTGTGGCGCATAACAGACGGCTATGTTTGCTGGCCACGGTTGCCGTTAACGTTTGCCGGCTGGGAAGTTTCCCGAATCGATTTTCGTTTTTCGATTTTCAGTTAAGAAAATTGCAGGGTTTTCTGCAAATTCTAGAGGACTTTCCATACTGGTTACGATACCAGCACCAGCCGGGGTTATCCAACTCTCGTGGTCTAGAGACAGATCGCTTACGTGAAGTGCTTCTTCGCGGGGTATGCGACCGTTTACGGTCGTTACGAAATCTAAGATAACGTGTAAGTGTATGACGTAAATTTGTAATGTCATTCTGGGTCATTTGAAGTTTTTCTTCGACTGAAAAGACCTAGGCGTTCGAAGATCTGGTGATTTCTAAAATGCGGTCGGCAGATGCAGCCAGCTCCTCCATGGCGTTTTTTCGAAACGAGAAAGAAAACTGTGAATAAGCCATCATCGAAAGTTTTTTTTGCCGATCACCTCTCTCATTCTTAGCAACATATCTGACGCAGAACGTGTTGCAGGTCGACGTTATTAAGGAGTTGGTTCAACCTCTGTCTATCGGTTAGGTCTCCGCATTTAAGGATAGATCTTTTCGTTATTTCGCAGGGTTCCGAAACATAACTAGTAAATATCACACCGGGCTCACCAATGAAGATGCCACAGGTATTCGGAGTTTGACAACGCTTTAACCAGTAACACCTAATATGAATCGTACGCACCAAGTGAAATCAAAAGAAAGAAGCGAGGAGGTTCGGAGATATATTTGATAGGTTATCAATATATCGAGAATCGTCTGATCTAATCTGGCCAGCGATTGCAAGGATTGTTGAGCACGGCGTTCTCACTCGTGATCTGGTGCGGATGCATGACTGAGCGCCTTCAGCTATGTCAGTCCATTAAAATCGATGTGGACAGCATCCAATGTCGAAGACTTTTACCGCTACAATTTAGTCTTTAACAGTTTTATCCGACCCTATTTAGAGTATGGATATATGGTGTCTCCCCTCACTCCATAGTATAAGGATACACTGGAATATATCGGAAGGCAAATTCAGTTCAAGGACTCAAATTCCAAACTAATAAAGAGCTTTCCAAATCATCGAATCTTTACCTCTCATGGTGCATGCGCCTCTGACGTGGTCTTTTAATGACGTATATCATCCTAGACACTCCAGCGCACCCCGTCAAGTATTTAAGCTCAGTCCCAACACAAACCGTAGGGGTGACACCCAGAAATTAAAAACCCACTATCGAAGAATTGGTTGTATGCGCACATTTCACTCTTTAGGACCAGTCTGGAATTCATAGCCGGCAAAGACGGTCCTCGCGACTACCCAGAAGTCCTTCGAGGGGAAAAGACTTATCCATAAGAACCCAGGACAGTATTTTGTTATAATTTACTAATATTTCTATTTTTACTGATAAACGCACCTAGGTTTCTACCTGAAGGCACCAGTGACTAACTGCTACTCGGTGAGGATGCCCGTTAAGCGAAAGCTTCGTCTGTTCCGTCCGCAACAAATCGACCTATATGGAAGGCGGCTTTTATGAATGGAATTAGTATTCCAAGGTCAATCACGAGCTTAAATCAAAAACAAGATGGATCCAGAACTTTGAACTTCATACTCTCTAGATATGAAGACAGTTTTTCTGTGTTAATGTTTTGTAAGTATTTCTGTGAAAAAGTAGATTTTTGTTGATGGAGCCCTCGTATACATGTTTGGACAGTTTTCACGCGTTGACAGCTAAATCGGGAAACCGAAACCTTACCCTCCGTTTTTTAAATAGTGTCTTTCGAACATTCCCATGTCGGCCTTAACAATACCTAGTCCCGGACTAAAGGGGAGCATAGCGTGCCCTAAGGTGTTGAAGGAGAACTTAGTTATACAAGCTACAATTAACTATTTAATGTGGAAATGTTAGGGTAAAGTAGAAAACTTGGTGTTTATTTTTGGGAAAATGTAGACTACTTGCGGAAAGTAAAGGTGTTAACAGGAACATTTTCCTGTATGGGGGAATTTTAATGGTAAGTTTGCACTTTTTCCTCGGGCTGTAGAAAAGAGGGACAATTTGTTAAATTTTCACATCGATTTTTAGGGGATTTACCCTTTACTACCACCTAGTTCGCCTCTTTTTCTTCCTTTTGTTTGCTTGGGATACATGGACACGGAGTATCTATATTTGTCGTATTGTCGTGTGCCTCATATTTCATCTTACTGTTACATGACTTGATTTATCTAATAACTGAAAATGAATTGTATATAAATTTCACTGATTCCCTTAACACAAGGAGAGCTTAAGATCCACTGTCCTGTTTGGTTTGTAACAGTTTCAGTTGTTTCTTCATCCCCAATCTATACGCACATTTGTTTGTAGGGAAAACATCTGTAAGTTACTTCTTGTTTCCTGAAAAATTCTTTGAAATGTTTCACTTTATTCGTAAACAAATGATGATTGTCTTCGACTCATTTTTTGAATTTCAAAACTTTCCTTTGAAATAATGCTATAATATGCATGCTTTCCCTTTAAGCCACTCACTTTTAGCATAAGTATTTACACACCTGTCAGTATGGCGTTTACAACAAGTATGATTCCAGAACAAGCTCAAGTTAAAGATCGCGCTGATGAACTTCTGTCTTTATGTAAAAAAGCAGTTGTATGTTTTATCATACGTAAACATGATTTTTATAGGCTGATTGCAATAACGTGAAGCCAACACTTGATTCACTTGATAAATTACGTTGCAAACAACGTGGTTCTAAAGGTTAGTTAGTAAGTTATGGCACTAATACTGACAATTAAAGTTGTCAAAAGTCAGTTGAAGTCCTTATACACACAGGCAATTAGTGAAGCTGAACATCAAAAAGCGTGAGTCAATCAATGGACACTTATTTTTTTTTACAGTACTCTTATGGCTGCTTTAGAAAAAGTGTCGGAAATTCGTGCTCTAGAATATAAGTTGAGTAAGTCCAAACATAGCCAGCCAAGCTTCTTAGGAACACATGTTGGTCCGAAAAGTTTTCGCCGCGGTGTACTAATGTCAGTTTTGCAAGAAAATGCCAAATCGATACCACTTTGGATAGGTAAACCCGGTGAGAGGTTAGTTTGACGTAGTTAATTATTTCTACCCAGTCCCCCTGCTCTGTGTGGTGCAACAGGACCATCAGCAAATATTCCTGCTGATCCTGGCGATCATGTTGCTGCCCTTGTTCCAGAACCAGACGTGGCAGCTGCTGCTTGTAATTTATCTGAAGGTTGTATATTGGCTGAAGTTGTTTCGTATAATCCTGATAAAGAAATCTATGAGGTAGAAGATGTTGATGCCGAAGAAGGGAAGATGTAAGTTACCTAAAAATTGGCTCCACGGTTATTGTTTTATGCATCTTGTTTCTAAGTATAAAATGTCCTGAAATGTAGTTACAAACTGTAAGCGAAGTAATAAGTGGTGTATGCTCTTGTCGTCATTTCTTGTGACAATAACTGATGCCAAATGAATACATTGTCAAGGTGTTCCCACTTAATATCTCCATTAGAAATTGATGAAAAAACTAACTTATTTGTATGTAATGCTTCACAGCTTGTGTAAATCAGACTCGTCTACTTCGTGTTTTGTTAGTAGTGGATTTGTTTTGTTTTATACCGTCACCGTAACCCGATTGATTATAACCGCTTGTAAAGTACATGTCAAAATGATAGACAATTATATTACTTCATAGACTTTCCATCTGTGTTTACATTTTTCTGTCGGTGTTATGTTCTTTAAGCTGGATAGCGTATTTGCGAAGCCTTCATTAATGGTACAGATACCATCAGCGCCTACTTGATGATGCTGTTCAGGACTTCAAAGAAGGTTTCGCAACTAAACTGTCTAGTTCAGAGAACATTATACTACCAAAACGTCTACCCGAGCTGTAAATCTATCATTTCAATATCTGTATGTAATATGCTTCGACAAGATATATTTCAATAGACGTATTGGGTCATCTAGTAAGTTGTTTACTAATTTAATGAATATGCTTTTTAGTGTTAAATTTACTGGTGCGTTAGTGGGACAGAACTTCGAAGTTGATATTAAACTCAGTCAATAGTTCTGTTATATACTTCAGTTGATGCTACAGCATACTACTATTCACCATAATCCTAGTTTGATTCCTATCAAAGTCTAAGTTTTCCTAGCGTTAATCATCGTCTGTATACCAACCAAAATTACCAAAAGTAATATTAACCACTACTTAATCATGTGTGCTGAAAGATTAGGTATTTGTTTTGGGTTTTTAACGTAGTATGTTGTTTTACCTAATAAGTCTTTGGTCATGGGTTTTTTCAAATCATTGCTCGCTTATTGTGGAACAACAGAGGGAGCAATGGTAAACTTGAGCGTAAGTTACTATGCAGATATGCCAATTCAGTTGGTGAGACTTAATCCCCAACTCAGGTGTCTGAGATTTATTTATTTATTTGAACACAAATATTGGTACAAATCAGGACCGAATGCATATGCGCCAGACAAGTCACTTGGTTTATTTGTGGGCTGTCATACCGCCCAGATGCCCAGATCGAGGCAGGTGCTTTTCCTAGGGGCCACACTCGGAGCCTTCGACCCAAAGGTCTGATCCACAAGCCAGTGGAACAACGTAAAGAGATGCAGTCCCATGATAGCCGGTGACCATTAGTTGGCTCATACGCCATTTGTTCCCTTAGGATCCGGGAACTCATTTGGACCATTGGCTTGGAATCATGGTTTTCTAGCTCCTTAGGTGGATCTCCCATATTCACCAACCCGGTTAAAGCACTAGACATTCTCTTTTCGTCCTCTCAATTTCGTAAACAACAGTAATGGCGCAAGAAGGCAGTGAGTAGGACTTCCGTGGCACTGGCTGTATACGCGTGTTCATGTGAGGGCATTTCGTGAGGGAGAGCTGACTCTCCCCACCCTCGGTCGTACCAGGTCATTTGAGGGTAACATGAGCACCCATATTCCAGAACTCCCGGTCCCACGAAATCCTGCACCCTGGCCTCCTAGCAGCTGGATTACAGGCTCACGCCACTACGCCCAGGCATATCCTATGGATGACTGGGCACCGTCTATCCCGACGTTCACTGATGGTCAGAATAAGAATAGGTTGAAGAAATCTAGGTGATACAGACGCGTTCATTCTTTTTCTTTTGTATCTTTAACTGGAATATTATTCGTACATTTTCCATCCGTTGAACTTATCCCACTTTTTCGAAACGTGTTTTTAATGTTTAGTGTCTATCACCACCATTGATATCACTATTATTTGGACTTTCCTGATATTTATATTGTTAATTAAATATCGCCTCAATAATGTGATGTCAACATGTGGGGTTACATGAAATTGTCCTAGGGTCAATATCGACTATGATTTTATCTATAAACGACAAATTTTTAGTGAGTAATCGTTAATTGAGTTAATGAATCAACTGTACTAAGGTTTATAAATAAATAGTATATTTGTAATGTCCCAATGAGTAAAAAAATTAGACTTTCTGACGTTTCGTGGCTTAGTGTAAGTCACTTCTTCAGAGAATAAATAACCAAATTAAAATTAATCCAAGTTTAAATAGTACAACGGTTTGTGTAACTAAATCATTATATATATATATATATATATATATATATATATATATATATATATATATATATATATATATATATATATATACTTGAAAAAGCTTGGTATGGTCATTGTTATGTACATTCCTTGTTCTTTCAAAACGGATTATGAACCCTATAAAAAGCAAGATATGTTAATTTATATTCCGTAATTTGCAGGCCAAAGTGAGTATTACAAAATGCAACTATTTCCTATGAAATTTTTACGTATAAATTTATCATTTTATAATTTAATTGCAAGTAAATAGTGTTCTGTTTACGTCACAAATATATTCAACTTTTTTAGCTTGCTCATTACTATTATCATTAATCACTACCATTGTGAAAAAATCATTTTTATGTGATTTTATCATTTCTATTCATTATATTATTACGTTATTCTTATTAAAATTGAAAAAGATTAATTTGCATGCTTCGTAACATTTTATCTGCACCTATTTAACCTAACCTTGTACGACTACAATTCATTAAGTGTATAAGGAACAAAACATAATTTAGTTTGACTATTTTTTGAATTTCATCTGTGTATTTGTATCACACATCTGAATTGGTTTCATGAAAACTTATTAAATATTGATTCCTCTCATCCATGTGTTATTATTCATTTAATATGCATTTGTACTTTGTCGAGGAGAAAATTGTAACCATATATCATTCACTCTCTAAACAAAACTAACACATTTTTAGGTGAGCTAACTCTTGTTTTCTTTCGCTTTCCATGCTTTTGTGTGTACATATATTTTATTTACACTAAAATTTAAGATTTCATTGAAAAAATTGTATATACTTTTTATGTCAAGGCGTTACTCTCTATCCCGTTCTAAAGTTATACCTTTACCAAAATGGAAAGCTAATCCAATTACAAATCCTGAGGCAATATTCAATAAAGGTGCTGTAAGTCAGGCCCATTTTGTTTACTATCTAACCAATATTATTATATTTACTTAATTTCTAATCTTATACACATCATTAATTAGCATGTCGAAAGAAAACAGTAGGTTGTTTTCTCGGATCCCGTGTGATTGAGCCGTCTTGATAAGGAAGCAGTTGTATGATCCATCTTTAATCAAGTTATCGATTAGTTCACTTATATTTCCTTTAAGACTGGTGAATTTTTATATGATACTTAACACATTCACCAATGAACGATAAACAAGACTTTAACGCTTATTTGTCTTCGAGCTCCTTATAATCCAGTGGCCAATCAGAAGATAAAGGTAAGATTCAAATCAGTTCTGTCATACCTAGTTCAATCATGACTCATAACTGATACAACGTTATAGAGTAAAATCCTAATCATGGTGTTATTTAGTTCGAGGTAATCAGTAGGAGACCATGAACATGGACTACATGTTTATTGGCACTCATCAAGTCGTGCATCAAATCTTTAGGAAAATGTTACTCTCTGTGGTATTGAAACCAGCTTGTCTTAACTTCACGACTCCGCCTGTAGCTCTTCTAGAGTTACTGCCGGTCCCAAGTCTGGGTAAAGGAGGAGGGTTGGGTATGGGGTCGACAACCCCACCCCGTAGAAAATAATCTTGCTAAAAAAAACGTTAACCGAATTAAACCATTTAAACTCTGCCCTGGGAGTTGAAGGAAGAACTATGACGCCTCATGATGAAAGCCGAGATTCTCCGGAAGTCACGTAGTCGGTGCCCCTTCTAACAACCAGAGCAATAATTTTTGTAGGTACATGGGACGTCCGGACAATGTTGGAGATCGAGAGGACCAGTCAAATAGCAACGGAAATGAGGAGATACAACTTGGCAGTACTCGGAATCAGCGAAACCCATTGGACCCAAGCTGGACAGAAAAGGTTAGATACGGGAGAGATGCAGCTGTACTCCGGTCAAGAAGAGGAAACTGCTCCACACACTCAGAGAGTTGCTTTGATACTATCCAAAGAAGCACGTAATGCATTTGTAGGATGGAAATCTCACGGATCCAGGATCATCAAAAGATCCTTCAAAACAAAGAAAAAGAGAATTACGATGAACGTCATCCAGTGTTATTCACTCGCCAGTGATAGCAACGAGGACAATAAAGATCAGTTCTATGAGAGGCTGCAATCAATCAAAGCGAAGTGCCAAGGAAAGGATCTCACCATCCTGATGGGAGAATAAAACGTCAAAGTCGGGATGGACAACACTAGACTGGGAGAGAGAAACGAAAATGGGTAGAGATTTGTAAACCCATGTGTATTCAGCAAATTGGATATAAACGGCACAATATTCCCACACAAACGCATACATATAGCTACATGTGTCTTACTAGATCGAACCACGGAGAACCAGATAGATCATATTTGTATTTGTCATTATTCCATTCCGTTTGGGGCATCTGTTGCTACCCTATCGTCTCAAGCTTTTTTCTACAATGTTCAACTCAGCCTACTACTTTTTTTAAAAGGTAGAGACAAAATTCTGGCCCGGTAGTGAGCCAGTATTACATCACTAACTAATGATATCATAGTCATACTCATCTTCGAAAAGGGAACACATGACGTGAATAAAAACGTGGTAAAAAACTATGAATTGTAAGATGGACCTGTGACGACGCCCCCAAATGCCCTGGTATGACAGAGAGTGTGGAGATCCCGCTGTCCCTCTTTAAATGCTCTCACATGGCCACGTGTATATAGCCTCTGTCAGGGAAGTCCAACTCACTGCCTTCTCGTGGCGGGGGTATTGTTTATGAAATTGAGAGAATAAAAAGCGAACGTCCGGCGCTTTAAACGGGTTGGTGGACACGGTGAGTCCACCTAGGTGAGTTGGAAAACCCTTATTCCAAACCAATGGTGCACATGGGCTCCAGTATCCTGAGTGAAAAAATGGCGTATAAACCAATCGTTGGTCACCGGCTACCATGGGACTGCATCTCCTTACGATGCTCCACTGCCTTGTGGGTCAGACCTTCAGGTCGAAGGCTCTAAGTGTGGCTCCCTAAGAAACCACCTGCTTTGGTTTGGGCACCTGGGCAGTATCACAACCCTCACACAAATCAAATGAGATTTGTGTGGCGCATATGTATTTGGTGCCTCCTTGTACCAATATCTATGTGTTAAAATAAAATAAATAATGTGATGATTATCGCGGTATAAGTATACTGCCAATTTCCTCGGGAGTATTGGCTAAATAAGCCATACTCAGTGAGGAGTAGGTTGTGAATTTATGGATTATTTCTTCATTCATCGTCAAAGTGTTGAACACATGCAAATGTTTCGATGTCGACTCGTTAGACAAACCTCTTCTCTAAGGTTGTCGGTTGAAAAGTGATATATCTGAAGTTATAACTATATTATCTCCTTAGAACGTAAACGGTGTGGTTATATACTCTCTTATTTTCCCAAATAAGCAGGGTGTTTGATAACGTTGCTCACTGACCGTCAATAATATTTTGGAGACAGCTTGAAAAGGGGTATTTAGTGTCAATGTGCATCTCGAGGTAAACTATTCAATTTTAAATAGAATAGGTGAAATGTGGCTAGCGTTGGAGTTCAGGAGGAGCGTTTCGTCTTATTCGGGACTCATCGACTGGACGTGCTTGCATCGCATAGTTAATGTTCACTTTGGAACTCAAACCCAGTATCGTTTGGGATAACCCAAGTTATTGAAACTAAATTATCACTCAATTTTGAGTTTGCAAATCATATTTTAATCGCCACCAACAAACTGTTCAATTATCGAGTATTTTGTAAATAGTTAATTAGTGTCTGCAAGTTTGGTGTGTAATCTGTGTCCCTAGGAAATTATGAATGATTTTTTAGTCGTGGTATACAATAATACAAAAGATAAACTTACCCTTCATATAAAGGCGATTTTTATTTTATATTCTCCGTTTATATCACACATATCAACTGATTCTGAACGACAGCTACTAGTTGTATTTTAATTTTTTTCTACAGACTGTTTTGGCTCTTTATCCACAAACAACATGTTTCTACAAAGCAATTGTGGATGAAATCCCAATTCATGTAAGTTATTCATCGTGTTATCTTAATACTTTCTACACTTTGAAAGGAATATATAATAATTAAAGAATAGAAACTCGGAAAATACTGGTCATCTACATTCAATTGATTTATTGGTTTGTTATATTATGTTAGCAGTATTGTGTACATAAAATTGTCACCATTACACATGAATCTCATGAGCATACATACTACTATTGGCACAAAATAAGTGATGAACACGTTTAATATCATTTTAGTTTTGTCTGGGATATGAAAGTAAGGGAACTCTTATGCTTTAATAAACGTTTTCACGTGAATAAATACAATTCATTTTGTACAATTCATCATTTGATAATTACTCTCTATTTTCTTATTCTAGATACATGATGAGTATTCCCTTTATTTTGAAGATTCATCCTACCCTGAAGGTTATGCTCCAGCTATTAAAATACCTCAACGATATGTTATTCAATGTCCTGACAAAGAAGCAATGACGAGTAAACATTTAGACAGGTCAAAAAAACGTGGTAAAAAACTATGAATTGTAAGATGAACCTATTACTTATAGTCTTAACTTCCCCCATCTTGCAGTTGTGTAAATATAACTAATTTCTTTGTTGTTTCTGCATCCAAATATGGTATAGTAGATTTTGGAAACAATCGATTTCAACGTAGTTTTTCGGTCATTCATTCAAACCTATGCTAAATTACTACAAGCAAATACGAAGTAGTACTGAGATATCTACTTATTGACTTACAATACTGTAATGTATCGTTTCGAAAGTTAGCTGCTAAAGATACTGAAACTGAGAACATTGCGAGTATTTATTTACTGGTTTTTTTTCAAAAACAAAGGATATTTGATCAAACAATTGTTTGCAATAACTTCGCCATTTTAAACATATAACATGGTCCAATTAAGTAATGCCTTATTTTGGTTTTGTAAAAATAACACAATAATTATGGACTAATAACTGTAGAGTCTGATGACGAAGTTATTGAAAAAAATATTTTATTGGGATTTTTAACGGTTTTTATCTATGTCACTCAAACATGATTCCAACAGAGTCTTCGTAGTTATCTGTTTAGTCAGGAAAATATGTGTGCGTAGAATCATAAAGAAATTGCTGAGAAAATTGGAAATCTAAACATTCATTTTGACTGTTTAAAACTTTTTAGTCTATTGAAGCAGAAATATAATATACATACAAACCCTCATATATGATAGCTATATGTGACTACTGGAAAAGTTAGGAGTGGCCCATTCAAACATAGTCCTTCAAGTCATCGATAATTATTCACTTGAAGGCGGTTTCACAGTAAGCGGCTGAATAAGTTCGGGAACGTTGGTTGCTTAGTTCAGTAATATGAAAGTGCAATATACTCAATTCCGTAGGTAAAACACCAATGGATTATCACCAAGTCTTGTACATCTATTACCTAACAATTAAGTAGCGTTGGTTTACGCCTCTAATTTTTCTATGTATGGTGGTTTGAGATATTTAAATATGTCCACTACTTTACCCTCTACCACTTTGTTTCACTGACTTCTAGTGAAACGTCAGTCAGTCAATCAGCTACAATGTGGGACCAGGCACATATATGCATCGGTCCAAGTTGCCATACGTCATTAACACAACAAGATGGACACCGGATTCATAAAGGTAGTTAATTCAGAGGTGGTAATATATAAAAGAAAGAATGCAATAAGGATATAGTGCAGGAAGAAAGAATTGGTTCGTAGAAAGAATGGTATGAAGCAATTTTAGTCTCTTAGTTTAAGGGAAGACAGAGAGTGTATACACCTACGCCATTGTGACCGACTCTGAGCCATGTCACCAAGAGTCTCCAACCATTGGTTACGATAGTCACGTGGACCACAACCAAGTAGTATGCATCTACCAACATGGCTCAGACTAGAAGTTAGTGTCTTCAAGCACTGATGACACGTTTTGGTTTGGCCGCCCCTAACTTTCTTCCAACCATCTCCAACACCGGTTAGCATTGCACGTCGTGGTAATCGGTGTTGGGGCATACGTAACACGTGGCACAACCATCTCAGTTGATGAAGATTCACAACCTCATCGACTGATTTACCATCCTTCCCTAATACCCTGCGTCTAACCTCACTATTAATTACCCGGTGATCCCAGCAGACGCCAGCAATATTTCTGAGGCATCTGTGGTCAAATACTAGTAGCTTACGAGTGTCTTCTACTCTTAATGGCCATGTTTCGCTGCCGTAAATTAAAACAGAACGGACTGCCACGCAGTATACTCGTCCTTTAATTGATAGATGGATATCTCGCCTTCGCCATAGGTGACGTGAGTTGGCGAAAGCCAAACGAGCTTTTCGAATCCGTGCTGAGATTTCGTCAGACACCAACCCATTAGGGCTGATCAGACTTCCAAGATAAGTTAAGTTGTCAAAGCGTTCGACTACTTCACTTCATATCTTTAATTCAGGTGTTGACGCAGACCAGTCCTGAAGCAACAACTTGCGTTTAGAGGGAGAGAAGCGCATTCCAAACATCCTGGCATTGTTGCTTAGTGCTACCAAAAGACTCTGCATTTTATCAGTGTCTTCACCAAACAGGACTATGTCATCTGCGTATCCTAAGTCGATAAGTGGACCTCCTGGAAGGAGATCAACACCCGAGAATTCTGTCGACGACAGCGTTACTTCCGTCAGTAGGTCTGTGATGAAGTTAAACGAAAATCGAGATAATGGACAGCCCTGACTGACACCACTTGAGGTTGCAAAAGTAGATGACAGTTCGCCATAAGCCCTGACTCGACTAGTAGTGTTCGAGTAAAGAGCCTTTACAAGGTTTGTGTACTTCTGAGGTACGCCTTTCAATGACAGACACTGCCACAGAATCTCGCGGTCTACCGAGTCGAATGCTGCTTCTAAGTCAAGAAAGACCACCATTGTCGGACCCCGGTAAGTATGCCTATGTTCTAAAACCTGACGAATGGTGAATAATATGTGGTCGATGCAGTCACGACCAGGTCTGAAGCCAGCTTGATTCTCCTGTGTTTGCAGTTCACGAGTCTTAGTTAGGCGTCTGATAATTATCGAGGCTAGTAATTTAGATACTATATTAGTTAAACTAATCCCTCTATGGTTGTCACAGGATGATTTTGACTCTCTCTTATATATTGGGACGATAAGTGATTGTCACCAGTCAGATGGGACAACATTGCGAATATTATTCTCCAGCTGATCACTGTTCACCCACAATCTGAAAGATAAATTATCGCATCTGACCAACTCAATGTGCATTCACCAATTTACCTGCTCTTGTGGAGCTAGGTATATAAGTCGTTCGATGCGTATTTTATCCAAAAGAATTCAAGAACATTGTCCGGTGTGGCTAAAAAGAGGAGGCAACGGCTCAATAAGAAGTTCTATAATCGAATACCTTGTGAACACAGGTCACTCAATCAAGACAGACTCTGCGTTCAAAGTCACCTACAAGGTAAGTAGAAGCCTTCCTAAGACAATTAGACTGCATCTTCTTTGCATTGCCGAGGCAATAGCCATACATTTTGAAAAACCAGAATTATGTGTACAAAAGAGACTGGTACAACCTCTTCTTCTACCATGGTCTTAATGTATTAAAAGTTTTTCTCTTTCTTTCTTCATACACTTGTTCCCTTATAGCCACCTGCTTCACCTTCCATCTTCCCTTCAAATCTTCTACCCCCGACCGGTTTGTTTTTATTTCCATGATCATTCCGATCCTATTTCATCTCTGTTTCAACATTTTATTTTATCATGCTGAGCCATCCTTACCCAATGAATACTTCAGCCATTAACTATCAAACGATTGTTAAATACACAGAGGGTGTATCTCGTTAGCTCTCCGTTTTGCCGAGGTGAGGTCAGGTGAATGACTACACTGGAATCCTGTATGCGTGTTTCGGAGACACAGCATACATCAATGGTACGAGATTCTAGGGTTTTAGCCAAGGAAGCCTGCTGACCGATTTGACATTGAGTGCTTACGTTGAAGGCTTCAATGTATAGTTTGGAGAGAGGTTTCAGTAGACCTGGGACAGAGTTTTGAGTACTAGAATCGTTGGAAATGGTGACACTTGAGGAGGAAGCCGAAAAAGGAAGTTTAGAGTTGAAAGTCGATGTAGGAGGAATAATAGGAGTTGAAGAGGGAGGTTCATTATGAATACAGTGGTCTTGAGTGCTGCTAGAGGTATGAGGGCGGTTATCACTTCCCGGCTGCCCACACCGTGGAAGCGTTCTTCTGGAGGTACCTGAAAAGGAAATTGGATTAGAGGTGGTCCTAGTGACCTGGGGGCGTGACCGCAGTGCCCAAGGGACAACTGCTTGAGGTCGGTCACACACGACCTTTTTATCGGTAATTTTTGTGTTAGCTCCGTACTTGTTGAGACCTTACCGCCGAAGACGGATATCCGTGAGATAAGGCGAAGTGTGCATTTTTAGGGTCGACCTTTTCTAACCCCACCCCTCCTTGTGGGAAGGCAGCATCGCTGTCATGCTGGATGTCTGAAGGAAACACCTTACTGCTGTCACACCTCTGTACAGTCAGCAGTACGACTTCGCCTTCGGACCTTGGGTTTGTTGCTTTTAGTCTTACCGCTCTTCAACCGACCTGTCTGACATGGTAGGACTTTGAGGAACGGTTGTTCCAGCCAGTATAGCTCGTTTGATTCATCACGATAGACAAGCCCGACTAGGACGTGAAGGTAGCAACAACGGTCGTGGAAGCGTTCGTATAAGTTCAGAGATTTCGAAAATACACATTGACGCGTGTCACATTAGAGATCAAGGATAAAATTAGAAGTTTATAGTTCGACGTATGGCCCAAATGTACTCTTATTCATGAAACAATCTTCGGCATTCAAACACTTGTTTTCAAGGTTCTGGTGAAACCTATGAGTGATTAGTGCTAAGGTATTCATAAATTGCCCTACTTATTCATAGTATAGTGCTAAAGCAAGAAATGATTACGAAGTCTTCAACTATTAAGATGAGAAGTGTAGGCAGTTAAATAAAGCAGATTAGGGGCGACGTCTACTGTCACAGGACCACAACTATAAGTATCAAAGTTTGAGCATGCCACTGTTATAACCCAGTGAAGATTAAGTTACAGGTGACTTCCGAGGACTGTTAATAGACTAATATTCTATAGATATTCTTATTGTATAATTATCCAATAATTATCATGTTAAGTCTAATGGTGTCCTTGGACTTTAAATGAACATTTCCTATTGGCCAATATTTATTTCACTTGTCAAATATTGTTTTCTATTTTATGGTACGATGTGGTTTGTTTGATTAGTATGGAAACAGAGTATGTCTGGAAATACTCGATCCGATTCATATTACAGAAGCTGGTATTGTGTTCTGGACTCAAGTGGAAGGGCTAGAAGGACATAGGACCAATCAGGACGCTAAACTGCTCATACCGGTTGAACGTCATTGGTTTGGCATAGTGCGAAATTGTATAAGTCGTATTCTGACTGGTCGATAAGTCGCGTGATAGAAAAGCCAGACATCAAGGTCATAACAACCACTTTCATGCAAAGGTTATAATTACCATACTTCTTCATAATCACATTCTCGTTCCCCCAATATCCCCCACAAAACTATACTATTAACTATTAGTTTATTGGGAGATAATATGAGGTTACATGAGTGGAGAAAATTAATCATAATTTTATTATGAAATTATCAAGTTTTAAAGTGTTAGAAATTTCTGAAATAGATCGTTTTAAATTTCCAACAGAGCGTTTTTGGCAACGGCTAGTTTCCGTTTTTAACACACAAGGTTTCGATAGTTTCGATAGAGTATTGTCGAATGATTGTTGAAATTGAAGAGTATTCGAATAATTTGGTATTCTATAGCTGTCAGCAATCTTGGCATGTTGACGCATAATTGACATTTGGTAAAAGCTTGATGGTCGTCGTTGATTGATCATAATATTATTTAATGGGATTTTATTATTAATCATATCTGTCTCAGGAGAGAATAATAAGGTACGACTGTATGCTTGTGAAGTTGATACAGTTTGTTTAGGTGAATTACTAGTACTTGGTTGATTCTGTTTCATACGAAATGGATTTGCAGGTGTTAAAAAGTCCGTCTAAGAAAAAATTAGTTCAAACATGATACATCAGTTAAATAGTTTAGTGGGTTTGTTTAAAAAATCTTGGGAGGAATCGGATGATTTATCCGGGTTGTATCCGACGAAGATTAAATTATAGATAGCTCGCGAGAACTGTTTATCGACTGTTGTTACATGTATATTCTTATTGTATAACTTATGTAACTAGATTATATATATATATATATATATATATATATATATATATATATATATATATATCTTATTATGAGCTTCCATCTGACCTATTGGCTAGTGTCATACGGTCTACCATTTTTAAGTTATTCCCAATTTATTAATTGCCGTCTCGCACAAGCACAGCCACTTTTTGGTTTGATCTTGTATAATTGTTACTTTTATTTTACGGTGTGGTTTGCTTGTATATAAGCTGCGTATATCTGAAATACATGATTCATGCAGTGGGAGCTGAGATTGTGTTCTGGACACAAAAGGACATCGCTAGGCGAGGAGAACCAATAAGGACTTAGAGTTGACTCTGGGCTGCTCCTTCTGGTTAACGCGTCATTGGTTTTGCACAGTGCCAAGATCGTATAAGTGGATGTTTTAATTGGTGGTTTAATCACGTGATAATTAACAGGGCAAAAGTCATAACAATTTGAATGTTATAAAAGTTTGGTTATATCTACACAGGGGTTTTCCTATTACCTACACTTTTAAAGATATTTTAAAGTATGAAACAAGCAATCGGGAAAAGCAGTAGTACTTCTATACCAATATAAACCAAACAGATCTAATCGCAGATAATATGCTATAAGAGTAATACTGAAATGAAAGTTTGATTTCTCAGATTTGACCAAATAATATGAACTATGTTTTCCTTTAAAAACACAGTTAACATTTCCGCCTAGATGCTTAGCGACAAAAAAAAATCAAGACTGGCCTATTGATTTATTGAAATCCCTTTACAATAGTAACAGTGATGATCGTATAGAATGGATTTGAATGGTTGTGTATTCAATCTTTATACGACTCTGAAGATCAACTGTATTTTATTTTGACTCACCAGTTGATATCATATTCACTGAAACACTTTATTGTCCGTGTTTTTTCACCATAGATAACTGTATTCAATACTTTCCTTCACGAGCTATTCAAAGTTATTTGTGAATCTATTTCTGTTGGTTTGTATTTGACAATTATATCTACCTTTTTTATTTTTTAATACGATTTTTGTGGAATTATCTTTCTTTTCATGAAACCATGTAAGGATTTTTCAAAACCCTATATTCTTTCTGTTTATTAGTGCGCCTGTGGTATTAATTGGACTGTTATTGTTATATTTGTCATTGTATCAATAAACATATCCAGTAAGCGTACGTTTTGATATCGGTGAATGATTTTTGTTTTAAGTATTAATGTTCGTTAGTGATAGTGCTATTGTGCTTATGAGAGTCAGAATTTCACGAAATGTATCACGTGACAATTAGTTCAACTTACTCAACTATGAACCTAGTGTATGCTTTTATTCTGAGATGTCTTTTTTTCTGGGAAATAATTAATCACGATTTAAATTATCATAAAGGGATATCAATTAAATACTGATTAGAAATGCGATATAGAGACTAACCCTTGGAGTGACATTAGCTGATTGTTCAAATGGACTACTGATTAAGAGTAAATCAGGTGTAGATAATTCCTTAGAAATTAATTTTGTCGATGGTGGAGTAACAAGCGAACTATCACTCATGGATATTGAACGCGCAGGAGTGGCAGAAGTAGATGGTTGCGAAATAATCCTTGATGTAGTAGTTCCACAGGTTAAATGCTCTTGAGAAGTATTTCCTTTTGTCTTATTACCATCTGGGTGAATTTGTCCAATTAAATTCGACAATTCACTTTCCAGTTGTTTGACACGTTCCTTATATTCAGCAGCATTAGTTTCGGCACGTATGATTTTTTGAGAAGCAGAAGTCTGTAGTTTACGTACTCGAGACAATTCTGTACGATAACTCCTCACTTTTTCACGGGTAGCAGTTAATTCTGATCGCAAAACAGAAGCCCATTTACAAAGAGATAATAGTTCACTATCTTTTTGATGCTTAATTTGTGTTTCGTTTACATTTTCGAATTTTGATGTATATCGAGAAAATAGCTCACGTGCAGCATCTTCTGAAGCTGTAGTGTTAAAAAATGAATTTCATAAAAATAAGAGTATTTGATTAATTTTGGTCTTTTAAGAATGGTTGAAATTCGAATACAATGATGAATCTAAGGATAAAAATGAAAATACTTTATATACCGTGAAACCTTTTTAACTAGTTTTTTGTCGATAATCGTCTTGTAAAACCAGTTACTTTTTACAGTTTACTGGTACAGCCTGATGTACGTTAGAATTTTATCGAGTAGTTTGAAAGTCATACTTTGATAACAAATACTAATTAAGATACACTGAAGTGTGTTGTTTCCTCATTAATTCATGAAACAAACGAATACTTGGTACAAACAGAGCACCATGAAACACTCCACAATATTAAAACGAATTAAAACTGGCGAGAAATTCGGTATCATAAGAGAAGCAACAAAGTTAAAGTAGAAATATAATCAAGATGAACTTCGTTGAGTAAGGAGGTGAGTCTCAGTGTTTAGGTCTGATGGAGTTGGGGAGAACTGTAAGATTGCTACTTGTTTTCACTTAAAATCATGTCTGACGTCTAAAGCCACTGAGTTGTACAATTATTAAAACTCCAAAATTGAGACGAAGACGACTTTGGGCTAGTTCAGTATAGTATTTCACTTTATGATACGAACTGATTGCCTCTTCGTTTCCTACATCCAATCCTAGTGTTGAATACACTATACATACAAGTATGTAGTGTTGGAAAATCAGGGAATTTATACCCTACCATAGTTTTATATCAGATAAATCACTACAATCATATCAATTAGTTCTGAATGTAACCGAAAATGGGATGTCCCACCTTTTTCAACAACAGAAAAAACACAAGAGAAATAACAAGTCTCAGTTACGCAACTTTTGGACTCAAGGATCTCATAATCTCCATACATGATCCGGTAAGACCAACAACTAACGACTTCCTATCCTACTTACGTTAACATAACCCTAGTAAATGTGCAATAAACCTATCAAACTGTCTTCAGCCGGTAATGGACAGCCATTTTTAGCATCGTTTTCCTAAACGAATACGGAAACGCAATAAAGGTTTATACTTATCAGTGAATCAAAGCTAGAAGAGATCTAAACAAAAGTTGATGTTTACGTACAACCTCATGGATTAATCCCACGTCGATAATTTACTCCGTCTGGCTATTGAGTCGCTCAATCGAGGTTTTTTCCAAAAACTCACATTAACTGAGAGAATTGCTAAGTTAGACGAGCTATAATAATATCTGTGGCTACCCTCCCCCCATCAGATAATCTATGGATGAAATACTAAAGAAGAATCAACACTTACAGGATATTAATTTTTTCACGTTTTGCATATCTTCTGTTTCTTTTCGAAGCTGGATAGCCTCAGCTTTCATAGCTTCGGCTTCTCGAAGGAACTGTTTCAAACTTGATATTTCTGTTCTGATTGATATAAAAAATACGTCTTTTATCAAGCGAATAGCTTATTTAACAAATGAACAACAAACAAAAATTTTATAGTAGGTCACTACAACAACTAAAAGACACCGTCATCTATGCATACCGGATTAGACTAGGGAAAAATAAGCAATCATTTGGACGATAGACGGTTAGTACTTAAACAAACTTCCAGGATGAAGTGACAATTATAATTTGAACACCTAGCAAGATGATGTTTATTAGAAACGGTTGTTAGATGAATAAAAATTGCAAATAGGAGGACAGTGTATAGTTGTTTTGTCCTACAATGCAACATAGTAGTGTGCATTCTCACACAATGAGAGCGTTAAATCAGGATTACCTGGTTTTGTGGTGAATATTCCCCGTGCAGTTTATAGGTTGGAACGTATCTGTTGAAAACTGATTTATGATAATCTAGCGTTTCTTAGTAATTGCCCACTAGTTCTACTGATGACTTTGAAATAAGTCCCTATCGAAATCTCAATGGTGATTCAAACAGCAAATTATGGATCGAATCAGTAAGAATATATTTTTTCTCAAATAAAATTTGTCACTACAAATCATGAGGTGGCCGAGCGGTCCAAGGCGCTGCGTTCAGGTCGCAGTCCACTCTGTGGGCGTGGGTTCGAATCCCACTCCTGACCGTTGTTGCTACCTTCACGTCGTAGTCGGGCTTGTCTATCGTGATGAAACAGCCGAGCTATACTGGCTGGAACAACCGTTCCTCAAGGTCCTACCATGTCAGACAGGTCGGTTGAAGAGCGGTAAGACTAAAAGCAACAAACCCAAGGTCCGAAGGCGAAGTCGTACTGCTGACTGTACAGAGGTGTGACAGCAGTAAGGTGTTTCCTTCAGACAACCAGCATGACAGCGATGCTGCCTTCCCACAAGGAGGGGTGGGGTTAGAAAAGGTCGACCCTAAAAATGCACACCTCACCTTACCCACGGATTTCCGTCTCCGGCGGTAAGGCCCTTTGAAGAACGGAGCTAACACGTCAAAACCTCTCACGAAAAGGCCGTGCGCGACCGGCCTCAAGCAGTTGTCCCTTGGGCACTGCGGTCACGCTCTCAGGTCACTAAGACCACCTCTAATCCAATTTCCTTTTCAGGTACCTCCAGAAGAACCCTTCCACGGTGTGGGCAACCGGGAAGTGATAACCGCCCTCATACCTCTAACAGCACTCAAGACCACTGTATTCATAATCAACCTCCTCTTCAATTCCTATTATTCCTCCTACATCGACTTTCAACTCTAAACTTCCTTTTCGGCTTCCTCCTCAAGTGTCACCATAGCCAACGATTCTAGTGCTCAAAACTCTGTCCCAGGTCTACTGAAACCTCGCTCCAAACTACACATTGGAGCCTTCAACGTACGCACTCTATGTCAAATCGGTCAGCAGGCTTCCTTGGCTAAAACCCTAGAGTCTCTTTCCATTGATGTATGCTGTGTCTCCGAAACACGCATACAGGATTCCAGTGTGGTCATTCACTTGACCTCACCTCGGCAAAACGGAGAGCCAACGAGATACACCCTCCGTGTATCTGGTGACCCGATGGCCAGTTCTCGTGGACTGGCAGGTGTAGGCATAGCACTAAGCATGAGGGCGGAACAAGCACTGCTAGAGTGGATCCCCGTCAACAGTCGTCTATGTGCTGTTCGGCTAAACGGCTCCGTAAGAACTCGGAAGGATAGGGACACACGTCGTTGCCTTTTTGTCGTTTCTGCCTACGCTCCCACTGACTGCAGCTCAGATGAAGTGAAAGATGAATTTTACAGAAAGCTATCTGAACTTCTTCAGAAAGCTAAACGCTCAGACATAGTACTCGTAGGGTGACTTTAATGCTCAGATAGGTAGTTTAAACCAAACAGAAAGGCATTTAGGTGGGTATTTTAGTATTCCGGCACAGCGAACAGATAATGGTGATCGTCTGCTGCAACTGTGCTCAGACAATCGTTTATTTTTAGCAAACACAAATTTTAAGCATAAGGAGAGACATCGTCTAACATGGCGACCCCCTACACCAAACCAACGATGGACTCAAATAGACCATATTGCCATCAGTCATCGTTGGAGAGGGTCGGTAGAAGATTGTCGCTCATTCTGGAGTACCTGCTTGGACTCCGACCATGCCCTAATACGGGCACGCATCTGCTTGCGCCTCACTGGACGCAAAAAAGCCACATTAAAAAGACCCATTAGAACTGAATTGAGTAACGAGAAAACCAAAAGTAGGTTCCAGGAACAACTGAGGTCACAATTAGGTAGTTCTGAAAACGAGGCTGACCCAGATGTTGCTTGGAAAGCTATACAAACAGCTGTGGAAACAGCAGTGACATCTATTAGTGACTTAAACCACAGAGTTACAAAGAACCAGTGGATTTCTTCAAGGTCTGTCACACTGATGGATTCTCGCAAACTCGTCCCATCAGGTTCTGAACATGATGAAGAGCGACAACAAATCAGATCTAGGTTAAGAAAAAGTCTAAGGAACGACCGTGAGCAGTGGTGGGCAACGAAAGCAAAAGAGATGGAAAAGGCGGCGACTATAGGGAACACAAGACAGCTTTACAGACTAATAAAAGAAACTGGAATTAATAAGTCAAGTGTAAGTGAGATTATTTCGGAAAAAGACGACACCCTCATCTGCTCCCAGTCCAGACGTTTAGAACGATGGGCGGAACATTTCAGAGAACAGTTCAGCTACTCTACAACTACCCTCCATTCCCAGACAGTGTGAATGGAACATTGAAGTAGGTCCCCCAACTCTAGCTGAAGTTCAAA